ACTGGAAATTTAAAAAACTAAGACTCCCACAACACTAAAAAGAGCGTATTTTGACAAAATTTTTAGCGGAGCAGCCAAATTTTGTGAAAAACACTGTTCAAAAATTCCGTTTTTGGTCAATTTAGGAAAATTGATAGATATTGGTCTCTTCAAAGTTGCAACAAATTTCTGGTAAAGGCGTGGGAAGGGGGTGGTTTGGGTTTGAACGTGCATAAACATGGGAATGTACGTAATGTGGGTGAAAGATTCAATGTCCACTATCAAACAAATTTCATTTTCTTCTTTTATATTTTCAACTTGTTGTAACTCGTTCACAGCTGACAACTAATTTTAAATGCATCTGCAAATCTTATTTTTCCAGGGGTTGGGGTTATTCGGCATGTTGAGGGTACGTGGCATCATGGGGGTTACGTGGCATGATTGGGGTAGCGAGTAGAGGGAGGGGGAGGGCGGACTGAAAATTCAAAAAAAAATCGAAAGTACTCCCGCAACACTAAAAAGAACATAATTTGACCAAGTTTTAAGCGCCGCAGGCAAATTTCTTGAAAAAATGGTCAAAAATGCCGTTTGTGGTTAATTTTGGAACATTATTAGATATTGGTCTCTCCAAAATACTATATTCTGCTCTTCCTGGATAACCGCGTTCAATCGAGTTTTGCAAATATAGTAAAATATGTTGTAATTAGCTGCAAATTTAATTCATTTTCATGAATTTTATAAAAGAATCGATTAAAAATTCATTACGTTGTCTGAAACTGCCACTATAATCGGTTATATAGACAATATTTGTGTCAACAAATATTCGTTATAATCGATTTTTATCCATCAAACTTTGGTGCGGGGAACTATGCATACTATGACTCAATATTTACCTATGATTTTGCTGGTTTTTATTGATATAAAACGTACCTTGCTTTCTTTTTGCAACTGTTACAATGTTTTCTGTTGTAACTGTTGTAAATGTTTTCTGTTTGCAACTGTTGCAACTGTTACAATGGACTCAGCTTGTATCTTTTTGGATTGATGTATTGACGATTAAATGGTATTGTGGTATTTGTAGCTAATGGTTTTGAGCAAGCTACTTTTCTAAAGCTTTAATAATTTCTTCTGTCACTCAAATGGTTAGATGAGTAAAAGGTTGCATGTCCACTAAACACCTACAAAAATTACTTTCTTTTATATTTTCAACTTCTGGAAATTTTACTTTCTTCTTTTATATTTTCAAAATGTTTAACTCGTTCACATTTGAAAACTAATTTTAAATGCGTCTACGAATCTAATTTTTTCCAATTGTACTTTCGTTTGGTCTTTTCAGCAGACCTTTCTTCAATTAGATTATTAATTTCTCCCTGTCTAAATGTTATCCCTACTTGTTTTCTAAAATAATTTAGCTTCAAATACAAAAAACTTGTCGGGAGGCTGAGGTAAGTAATTTAGTATTGGAGGGTTTCAGAACGGTTACAGTATCATATTGAGTGGTTTCATTTTTTTGAAAACTAATTTTTAATAACTAAACATTTCAGATGTGAACGTTTTTTGGTGGCCCATGCCGGAGGTTTGTCTCTCACAAAAGGCAACTGAAAATTGCTTCAAATGTTATTTCGAACAAGAAAAATGTGGTATATGAGCAGTAAGATGTTTTTTTCATTTCATACCCATGTTCTATGACAAGAGTTCAGGTATGATTTAAACGTGCTCGTGGGAGTGGTTTGTTAGCTTCACAATCTAAGATTTTTTTTTAAAATCGTTTTCTATGACTTTTCAAATGATTCTTTTAATTCGTTGCCCATTGATTTTTAAAAAACTATTCCCCGTGGCGTATGCCAGAGAACTTTACATTAAATTTTGACAATTCAGCATAGAAATTAAAATGTTAAGAAAAAAAACGAAGTTTTATGCTTCCAAATAGCTCAATGAAAACTGATCCAACTATTTTTTCTTCAACAAACTTATTGCTTTGCGCTATCAAAACACTCTGTATTTTTCTCGCCAAAATAGTTCTTCCTAAAAACGGTATATCCACAGCAAAAAGTGCCTCAAATTTTGCCATCTGAGGTTTACCGTCTTGTTCTTTTAATTTTTGAATTGTTTTAACTGATAAAAAACTTTTAGGTCTAATTTTCTGAAAGCTCCGTAAAATTTTCCAAAAATATTGATTTCAGTTTTTCATGAAAGTTTGAAATAAATAAGTCGCAGTCAAATATAAACTTTACAACTGGTTATGATAAATTCAGGACTAAGGCTCGAGCAGCCTCTATAATGCTATATTAAGGCACTCATAATTGTCTTTGCTGAAAATAAGATATGACGCTTATCTGATTTATCCTACTTTTGGTATGTTTGATTATGATTCTCTTCTTTTTTAAGACAAACTGTCAAGAAAAAAAAAGATTTTGATGAGAACGTTTCATAGAAATGGTTTTAAGTTTGTAACTTCAATGAATATAATCTAATGTTCGTTTTTATATTATAAACATATGTTCTGAGACCAATTGTAATGCTTCCCCGGCACTATGAAATTCAAAAATCTAAAATTTGAATTCGAAAACAAATTAAAAAGAAAAACATGGAAAACTTTTTTATTAAAAAAAAACATTTCAGTTTTAATTAAGCAAAAATAACTATGGTCAAAGAAAAAAATTTTAAAACTAAGAAGAAAGCTTTTGTTTACCTCCTATACGATGCACAGAAAAGTTTCATAGCAAAGAAACTTAGTTTCAACAATCACCGTGATAAGGAAAAAATTATTGGTGAAAGTTACAAAGTTTTTTAAAACATTAATAGTCAGTCGGTCTGAGTTACCATGAATTTCTTTTCTTGATAAAAAATTTCCCTTGGCAACACAATTGTCGTTGTTGAACTTTGCTTTTCGAAAATTTTAACTGGTTTTAAAATGATGAGATTTCATTCATAAGAATAAGGCTGATTGAGTTACCATTAGTGTAATATGCGTAGCAAAAAACAGTGCATAGTCAGACTTTAAGCTATTCAACTTATTCAGCATTTATAGCTTTTAGCTTTGGTTTTATGGTGATTTTTTGTGACTATCAAAAAATATTGATAAGTCTTTGTCTAATTTCTGACTATCTACATTGTTTGGGGTCTTTATCTGCCATCTGAAATAATTTTTTTTAACGTTTCGGAAATCTTCGCTTGTAGCGGGAGTGTTGTTATTCGTTTCATTGATGTAAAATTTAAAATAGTAATAGGTTTTCACTTAAATTTGAGATTGTTATCAATCTAAGGATATATAATCAAAACTGAGTTGTTGACGATTGCTTTTTTGTTATTTTTTTGCACTATAATGACTTTAATGGAAGGTTTGAATCATCTCTAAACTGTAGTTTGTTCAGTTTCTCTCAAAACTAAAACGAAAATCTCAAAAAACGGGTTCAATAAATCAAATCAAAAGCTGTTCTGTCCATATATATCACATTCAAAAATTATATTTTTGCGCCTTTAATGAAAACGGGTCCATTATTTAAACTAGTTCGTGATTTTTACCATGCTTCCCTCAGCTTCCTCTCAGCGCTTGACATAACTCTATCTAATGAGTTTATTAAGAATCTGGTCAAAAGTTCGCCCATTTTCTCATATATATATATATATATATATATATATATATATATATGACCGACTGTGTTTAATTGCTGCTGGTTTTTTCTTACTAAAACATTGGGCTTTTTAGAATAAAATTTTCAGTTTTTTTTTGCTATAAGAATTTTAGTAAGTTTTAGTACATGAATTTCATTTGAACTCACAAATAGCTTTTATATACCTAAGTGCATTCATAAAAGAACTAATATGTATGAATCCATATTTTTAGTTATTAGAGTATTTTAAGACTTTTAGAGATTAAAAAATTGGTTGGTATTTTCCATTCCTTTCATTGTCAATATTGTGTCTACCTCAAATGAAAATAGCAAAAAGTGCTACGTCGATGCACATTTAGCATTTTATTAAGCAGAAACCAGTTTTCATTTTTTTAAATTACGTAATATTTTTTGGTAATTGTAGAGCATACTGCCAACATTTTTTGATCTTGGTTCGTACGGTTTTAAACGCAGATCACAGCTAGTTTCATTTATTTTCTATCTGACGACAGAGTCTGTTTGGCAACAATGCATATGTTTGAAAGCAACTGAAAAAAATGCGCAGTGGAACTGAAATCATGAGCAAGGATTTAATTTTTAATATTGCTGCTCCTAAACATCATACACATATACATATGATATACATATGTTACACATATCACTAAAAAATATATCGAGCGGTTATATTTATGCACAATTGTCAAAAACCGGGCCATTATTAAACTGGTAAGTGATTTTGTCTATGCTGCACTCAGCTTCCTCTAAGCGCCGGCCATCATTCTATCTGATACTACATTAAGGATCACTTATTTATTGGACTTTTAACATATTATTCTTGAAATTGACTTTTTGGAAATTGACTTTTTCCTTGAAAAAATTTCCTAATGATAGATACGCCAATTCTCAAAAATACACTTGTGTCTGAAAATAATACAAATCCTTAATAGAGTGAAAAAGATAAATTCGCGAACAACGCAAAATTGTCAGTTTTTATAGAAGTTCTAACGCGCGTACCAACATTTCCGTACTCCACACAGCGTTTGGTGCATATTTATGACTTCAATTAATGATATACAATTCGTCGATGTTTTTTATATGCTGGTATGGCCATATCTGGCTTGTCCACGGACTTACACAGAAAGGTATATTTTTGGTATATTTTTCTATAAAATCATTTTATTTACAGAGAAAAAAGTTTGCATATTATTTTTAGGGTGCACATACAAAACAGTCCGTACACAAACAGTCCAATACAAAACAGTCCAGAAAATTGTACAATGTAGGAAAAAAACAGTCCCAATACAAAACAGTCCGGTTTATGGTAACCGGCTCTAAATTTTTCATTAAGTCCTACCATCTGTTGGCAAGCTCGCTACACAATGGCGCGGCTGCGGCGGTTTCCATTTTGTTCTGTATGTTTGTTGAGCAAAGGACAATTCCGCCTGTTTTGTATTGGACTGTTTTGTAAAGACACGCATTTTAGTCGTTTTGATATTAAGGTTTTGATATATTGCCCCAAATTTTCCCTCCAATGCAATAAAAACTATTTCTCAGTATATTCATTAACTTTAATTCAATTTCACAATGCAAACTTGAAATTGATTTTTTGATTTGAGTTAAGTGCGTTACTAAGCGGGAGATCTAGCTCTTTTTACCAATCCATAATTAATTGTAGTTCCAGGAAAAACGATGTCTTTTCTTCCTATAACGACAAATATTGCAAATGCTCAGCAAGCCCAAAAAAACATCGATAGACTCATTGCTTTGTTAGTTAAAAGTGAGGTACCTTATCCCAACATCGAAAAGCACCTGATGCTCCGGTTAACAGATGAACAGAAAGAAAACAGCAGCGAAATAAAAACATATTTCTACAAACATTACTCTGATGCTGTTTTGGCCAAATTAATAGATCAACTAGAAGTTGAAAAAAAGAAGAATCGAAAAAAAGAGGAGCTGGAACAACTTGTGAACGGCAAGCAAGACTTTGACGCTCTTAAAAAAGCGTTTCCATCTCTGGAAAAGCTCATATCTCTCGTCAAAGGATGTTCTGATGACAGATTATTTGATCCTGGAATTTTTCCAGGTAAAATCTGGAAAATACTGAGCGACGAGTATCAGCGAACTAGAGAATTAAATGACTCGGAGTCAGAGTTCTTAGAGGCCTTGATGAACCATGTAAACTGTCTGCTTGCAGAACTCGATGCAAACAGTGTTTCGGACATTCCGTTCATAAAAGAGAGTCCGACAGTTTCAGATCTCATCAAAAACATCGAGTCCACGACATTTCTTTATTCGAGTAAATCAAAAGCAGAAAGACACCTTGAGCTGAAGGCAAAAATGCTTAAATCACGACCCGAAAACACGATTGAGTTTCGAGCATCTTTCCAAAACAATCTACTGGAACCCTTACTGAAAGAGTATCGGGCTCCACCTGTAGTTGAAATACAAGTTTCTGAAACGGACCGTGATCATATAATCTTCAAAGTGAGTTGCTCTGGCATAAATATCGATCGGACAGTCCAGGAGACGCAGAGAAAAGGTATCACTCCTAGCGAAACGCGAGTTTATGCTAAGCATCTTTTCGTCGTTGAACAAAGCTGTGAAGGCAAAGGCCATAATTTTTGTGTAGTTAGTCCTAAGATTAAAATTTTGAAGCCAAAAACAGTTTTGGATGTCTCTGGAAGTAATGCTTCCAACGCCTGGAACATGAAAAAAGCTGAAGACGGAACTTTTCCGGGAGATCATGGCAGAGACGGTATTGACGGAAACCATGGAATGAGTGGAGGGAATGTGACTTTTTACTGCGACGAAATAGAAGGAGCCAGTAACCTGAAAATAATATCCAATGGTGGAAATGGCAGTGACGGCCAGGACGGAGGAAATGGCTGCAACGGGCAATCGGGAGTAGATGGCAAGTCATTGAACTGTAAATCAAAAGACGACTTCCGATCAAAGTTTGGGAAGTTGCATTATCTTAAAGAAGTGAGTGACTTTTGTTCCCAACTAAATCAACTCAATGATTCCTACGACAGCAGTAGTTCATTTTTCCCTACAAAAAGTGATGTCTACTTTTCTGGCAAATACAACGACTTGGACACGACTCTAATTCATTACCGGTACAGGGGAAACCTGTGGTTTAGAACATTGGTCCTAGTCAAAGGTCTGCCAGGCACGGTTGGTTCACGGGGCGGAGATGCAGGTGCTGCCGGCGCTAAAGGTGAAGGCGGGTACGCTGGAATACTGGAAATTTTTGGCCTAGAATCATCACATTGTAAAGGATCTGAGGAGCTCATGGAATGTGTTGAAACAAACCCAGGAAGAGACGGCAATGATGGAGCGCCTGGAAGACCTGGAAACGGAGGCCGAAACGGAAACAAAGGAGCGGACTGTGGACGAGTGGAAGCTGATAGTGATCAGTTTGTGCACTTCGGATCACTGGAACTTTATTCAGACTCTAACGAAGACAAAACAAGAGTATGGACAGGCAAGTACAAAAAGTACTTTGGAATCCGGACTACTGGAAGATGGACGGTGCAGGACTCGTATGAAACTCACGGAGAAAAGGCAACAAGAAGATCCAACAAACGCCAAAGAGTTCGTAAAAGACTGAACGTCAGAAGTGAAATAAATAAGGAAATGAAAGAAGCTATGAAAAAAAGCGTTCATGCTAAAGTTAACACATTACTTCAACAGGAGAGGGGAAAAGAAATTAACGTTGAAGAACAAGTGCAACAGAACGAAAGAGCCAAAACAAATCGACTTCAATCAGTCGTGTCTGAAGAGTTAAAACAGAAAATTAGTTTCAATGTTCCAAAGAAGCGAGAGCTAAAATTGCTCGAACAGAGAAATTCATTTGGTTGACCTCCACATTTCAAGTTATACGAAAAAAAAACATCTTAGTAAGAGCCTTTAGTAATAAAGGACTCTATCATCACTTTAAAATTAAAAACGGAAAGGACTGAAAATTGAACTAAGCCTGTATTGCTAAGTTAAAATTAGTCAACTAAGTCTCGAAGTTCAATGAATTTCGAACGTCAATAGGTAAGCATCTGTTTACATAATGAGCACCAGTGGTACGATGTTTACTCAAGTATTATTTAACACATCGTAACAGAGCCAAAAAAGCTTTGTAGTGGCGTCAGTTAGGGGATATTTGTGCTTGTCGGTGTTTTTTTAAAAAATCAATTGGACATTATACTACCATTTTGTGTGTGAGATTTTTCTTTCACCATAGATTTTCAAAATTCAGCTCAGATATATTTTACATTCAATTGTTTTTTTGAATAAAAGAGTTTTTGAATACGAGCTAAAATTCTGCCGCTGTATAGAGCAGGTGACAGAGTAATCTGCTCTGAAACTTTTTCAACCCCAAATGAGACAAGAGAAAAGTTCAAACGTTAAATTACGAAAAACAAAACTTAGCATTTTGCACTCGATTTACTAGGAAGAACATTTTGAAAAAGTTTCATAATTGTTACCTCATTTGAAAAAATGGGAGCACCTTTGTATTAGGGTTGATTCAGTTTTTTCTTTTTTTTTTTGCTTTTCACGCAAAATCTGCTGCCGCAAACATTCATCGAAAAGAGTTAAACGATATATCATATTAAAGCCCAATTTAGTTTATTTAAAAGCATTTCGTTAGTTACGAGAGTAGACTTAATTTTTTTCGTAGTTTTTTTGTTTTTCTAGTTTTTGTTGTACTAATCATTTTGCTACAAAAGCGTTTTCCAATTTGCTTTTTTTCTATGACTGTCGAATATGCCTTATATTTAGTTTTTCTTGTAGCTCCTTTTATCACGCCACGCCGAAAAAAAGCTACTTTGAAATTTTTTTGAAACTAAATTGAAAATAATTTTTTGTTGTATTTTTAAAAGACTATGGTCGGAACATTCTAACTGCACTGTATCTGGCTATCCTTGTTCTCGATTGATTTTGTATCAAACAATTTTTCATCCATATTCTAAGAGAAACGTTGAAGAGCATTCAAAGCACTCATATAAATATAAATTGATGAAACTGTCACCTCAAGTCTTACGTTGTGTTGAGCTATGGTTGGTCGGTTTAAATGCCAAACTAGGAACAAAAAATAGTACAAACAATAAGTGGCTACAAGAGTTCAAAAATAGTGCATTAATTTCTGATTGCTCAATTATTTGTGCCTTTATGTCAAATTGCTGATTACAATCATTATAAGAAGCAATCATTTCACTTAGTGACAGTAAAAGTATATTCGAAAACCATATGTTAAATAATTTGATGTATTTTTTGCGCCAAGTATGGATTGCATATCCGACTAAGTTGAGATGAATGTACGAGGGGAAAAATGAAATTGATTCTCAGACGCATTCATTATTTCAAAAAATGTATCCTTTTTTGTCAAAAAACTCAAAAAACCAATGGTGCCAATAAACAAGCTACAAATCAAACTCAAACTGTCCAATGAAATTTACATATAAGACGATTGGCTTTTCATGATCATTCGTCTCACACAGTGTTTACGAAGGATAAAAACAAGTTAGATTTTAGTGGTTACATCTCTAATTTCAACTTCAGGTAATCTGCTCTGAAACGTTTTCAACCCCTAATGAGACAAGAGAAAAAGTTCTAACGTTTTGTTACGAAAAGAAAAACTTAGCATTTTGATTCAGTTTTTTTCTTCTTATTTTTGCTTTTCACGCAAAATCTGCTGCCGCAAACACTCATCGAAAAGAGTTGAACGATATATCATATTAAAGCCCAATTTAGTTACGTTAGTTTATTTAAAAACATTTCGTTAGTTACGAGAGTAGAATTAGTTTTTTTCGTATTTTTTTTTTGGTTTTTCTAGTGTTTGTTGTACTAGTCATTTTGCTACAAAAGCGTTTTCGAGTTTGCTTTTTTTCTATGACTGTCGAATATGCCTTATATTTAATTTTTCGTGTAGCTCCTTTTATCACACCAAGCCGAAAAAAACTTTGAAAATAATTTTTTGTTGTATTTTTATAAGAGTATGGTCGGAACATTCTACCTGCACTGTATCTGGCTATCCTTGTTCTCGATTGATTTTGTATTAAACCTTTTTTTCATTCATATTTTAAAAGAAACGTTGAAGAGCATTCAAAGCACTCGTATAAACATAAACTTATGAAACTGTCACCTCAAATCTTACGTTGTGTTGAGCTATGGTTGGTCGGTTTAAATGACAAACTAGGAACGAAAATTAGTACAAACAATAAGTTGTTGCAAGAGTTCAAAAGAATAGTGCTTTAATTTCTGATTGCCTAATTATTTGTGCCTTTATGTCAAATTGCTCATTACAATCATTATAAGATGCAATCATTTCACTTAGTGACAGTAAAAGTATACTCGAAAACCATTTGTTAAATAACTTGATGTATTTTTTGCGCCGAGTAATGATTGCATATCGGACTAAGTTGAAATGAAGTTCTGCGAGGGGAGAAATATGAAAAATGATTTTAGGAACTAAATTTTTTTAAAAATGAATTTTTTTTGTCAAAAACTTAAAAAACCAAGGGCGCCATTAAACAAACTCAAATCGAACTCAAACTGTTCATATGAATTAAACATATATGACAACTGGATTTTCATGATCATTCTTCTCACACAGTGTTTACAAAGGCTAAAAATGAGTTATATTTTAGTGGTTACATCTCTAATTTTAACTTCAGGTTAATTAAAGTGCCAATTGAGTTTCAAATGTGTGTATGAAGATTCATACGTTGAAATAACATGAAATTACAAACATTTGAGGTCAATCAAATCCCTGCAGCTGAGTTTGAAGACACCCATAGTGACGAAGAACCAACCGAACAAAATCCTACAGTGGAAGCAGCGTTGTTGTTTTTGAAGAATCTTCTACGCGATTTTCGCGTTGCCAAAAAAATTCATAAGAAAACATTGAAAAAATTAAAGGGACAAAGCAGCTTCGACAAAATAGTATTTAAGGATCAAGAAGAGGAAAGATCTTTTTTGGAAAATGATTTGATCGCCTTGTTTTCTGATATAGAAAATGAACTTATGAAAACTTGTTCACCAGTTCAGAAAGAGTCTTTGAAGGATTGCATAAAACACACTTCAACACTGTTAACTTACGGTTTTCCCCCCGACAAAGTTGCCTCAAAATTGCTGCAAATTCAGCGTATTACTTTTGAAAGATACAAACAAAATTGTGCATTGCAAACCAGACAAGATATTGAAGCTATTGCAAGCGTTCAACCTAATATGGATGAAAATCATTCGAAGTGCATCGACTTTCGAGCTTTTTGCGACGATTTAGTGCAGAGAAGTTTGGAAGACATTTCGAACTGTTTTTCTTCAAAACCTCCAGAAGGGCCAGGAAAACCAACTGCAAGATCCGCTTCGTACACAGGTTTGTTGTTCAATATATTGCAATTTCAAGTTAATTTTTGAATTCTTTTCTAGTTTTTTAAATCCATGGCTTAATATCATCTATTTTTACAGTCTCATCAAAAACCTTGTTTCAGTGAACAGTAAATAAATTGAACTTAAGAAGTAGTTAAATGTTGAATGCAATTTCTAAATTTTGGAAAGATTTACCAATAAAATAATGTACATAATCAAACTTCAACGAATGAGCTCTCCAATGTTGATCTATCAAACAGATTCGGATATTTTTTGAGAAGTACGGAATTGTTGAAATATGAATTTTGCATTTAACATTCAAAATAATTACGCCCGAAATATGTTAGAAAATAAGATTTTTTTTTTAGAAAATCAAACAATGACGAACATACAGAGTTGTCAAATGTTCCACGGGTGATTTGGATCAGTTGATGGGACGTTTTTTTCACATTCAATGAAAAATTAGCAATTTTTTTGTTGTAACACGGTTTTCATCGCATGGCATAATTCGGCACTTCCACAATTTCTTTTTATCGAGGGAATTTTTTTGAAAAATCAGAAAACCCCCCATGGGCTTTCAAAAATTCTGCCAATGCGGGTTGAGAGAGTGCTTCTCACTTGGCTCTGGACATTTTTTAAAAACAAACTTTAAACAACAACAAGACTGCTCGTATCAGGGCGCAAAGCCCTGAAAGTTCCGACAGCTTTTTTATGTCTATGGAGCAGTAATACATTGCTGATTTAAGTTATCCGGAAAAAACGTACAAAATTTTTCTCAAATTGGGTCAAGACTAGACAAAAAGTGAAGAGAACAAAAGTTGCTTAGAATTTCACCAGAACTAATATGGTGCCATTTTTTCTCCGAAATTCTCAACAATAATTTTACCCCAAAAATTGGTCTTTTTGGCTTTTTTCAATTAATCAAGAATTACGCGGAAACTACTTTGTTAATTGATAAGAAAATTATATCACAGGAAGCCTCTTACGCAGCTCAACAAAGTTTAAGAAGGGCTAAATCTCCAAAAATTTGCGCAAATTGTTTAAAATTTATTTTTAAACAGAGATTCTGGGTTTTATATATTAAAAATCACCTTTATTGACTATCAAGTGAAAATTTTTTCTCTTATATTGGTTTTTGGAGATTTAACCCTTTTTAAACTTTTTTGAGCTGCGTAAGAGGCTTCCTGTTATATAATTAACTTCTCTTATCAATTAACAAAGTGGTTTCCGCGTAATTCTTGACAAAATTAATTGAAAAAGCCAAAATGACCAATTTTTGGGGTAAAATTTTTGAAAAAATGGCACCATATCAGTTCTGGTGAAATTCTAAGCAACTTTTCTTCTGTTCACTTTTTGTCTAATTTTAACCCAGTTTGAGAAAAACGCGTTTGAAACTTCAAGTTTTGTTCGATTTGTCCGGATAATTTAAATCAGCACTGTAACATAAAAAATAAATGTAATAAAAAAAGTGATTTTTTTTTCACTTTGAGATTTTTTGTGAAAATCATCCACGCCATATAAAAGTCAAATTAATAAGTTTCGCTCCTAGCAAAAAATCAATTTTGGCAAATAAGCTCCTTCAACCATTTTGGAATGATCTCTAAGACGGATTAAATCTCCGCTTACGCGTCAATAGCTCGAATCCCAAACTGGCCGATCTCTAAACCCCCATAACTTTACGAAAAATAATCACAGGTGGAAAATATTTTCAAATTTAAGCTCAGCCAAAAATTCTTTGACTGATGTAAAAAAAATTCCGTCAAAAATTGCTACTTAAAAAGTCGAAATTTTTCTGAGGAAAAAAAACAACCCGAGCACAAATGTTCAAGAAAGAAAGAAAAAAAGAATATATTTTTCCTTTTATAAACAATATATCAGCATAATTAAATTTACCACAATTAAAACAGGAACGGATAGACAACGGGACCTGTTGGTCCACTAAAAGTCTACCCTTCTATTCAAATGAAACATCTCTAATGAAACAAATCAAATTAAACAATACGAGCAAATATATTTTTATTTAAATACAAAAGCTACAGCTCGTGAAAAAGAAATTATATCTATTTATAAATTTATGTTGACATTAACTAACTACTGAACTTAACAGTACTAAACTTAACAATACTTCCAGGGCGCTGTTCCGTTACTTTCGTTGCAAAAGTCGGAACAAAAATGATAAAAAGGCAGACTCTACTTCTGGCGAATCAAACGAAACACGTTATTATTTAACTACACGTTATCATTTAACTATTCACTTATTTTGGACTGATGATCATTAGATAGGGTAAAATTTTTGCTATTTAAAGTCAGACAATCTTTCATTTTTTTCCCAAAAATCCACAGTCAAAAATTATTAGTCTGGTTTTAATGCTTTTATCAGCATTGCATTGTTTAATATCTTCAGTGAAAGTCGAAAATGGGCACTATCGCTGCCTTCAATAATTTCTTGAGTAATTTATTTTTTGAAGCTCTGACTCGGTTTCTACTTGTTGAAGCAATCGAAAAAATTGTTTTGTGGTTTCAAAAAATAGCAGTTCAAGTTTATTATTTGCGTCTAAGTTTCAACTTTGTCAGTTGAGGATGGTTATATTGTAAAAATCAATAAGTGCAATGCAACTTTGGTAGAAAAACAAAACTTTCAACGCAAAAAAAAACATAGTAGCGACCGTGAAAGATGAATTATTTTTTTTTCACTCATTCAAACTCACCTTTTTGAAGGGAGCAGTCAAGAAAACTTTGAATAAATTTTTGCGCAAGGCTTGTGGTAGTTGGTTCATCTGTTGGCTCAAAAAAGACGATCAGTGACCGATAATTCTTGAACAAACAATGATGCTTGAACAGACAATGATGCTATCCTACATATACTCAAGGCAAACGTCACGGCGAAACAGTCAAAGTTGACCTTGCAATCAACTTTTTATTCAACCAAACCTGAAATGGTCTTGTCTTCTGTCTATCAAACGGTCTCCCATACTCCTTTTTTACATCGAAAATTATTGGTTTTTTGAAGTATTTATATACCAATATTATATCTTGTTATTTTTATATCTCAAATTTATATTTCAGAATACGACATTGATCAGATCGATTCCATTAGGAAAAGATTTATCGCTGGTGCGGAGAAGGCCGTGAAAAAATATTTACCATCAAAGTCATCGCAAGACTTTGTCGAAACTGATGTTGATGGAGATCGCAGATTTGATGCAGACGAAACAAGTCAAAAAAACATCTCACATGGTTTTTCGACAGTTTTATCCATTTTTCAAATACAAGATTAACGGTACTCAAGATAGATATTGTTTGAACTTTTGGATTAATTTGAATTTGCATTTGGCTCTAATTTTTTGACTAGTTATAGAACTTTACGAGAAGAATATATTCTTTTTTTGCTCCTACCATTTGAAAAAGGAAAAAAGGACAGGAACTTTGTATTCGGCTGTGTTTTAGTTTTTTTCTATTTTTTTTTGTTTTTTACGCAAAAACAGCCACCAAAATAAATCATCGGAGAGAGTTGAGTGGTAGGCAGGGCCGGATTTGGGGGGGGGGGGGAGAGGCGGGGGGGGGGGGTTGGCGGACGCATCCTCCCCCTCATGGATTCGACCCCCTGCCGACCCTTTGATACTTTTTCAGAAATCCATTTTTGGCCGACCGACCCTAAGATTTTTCTAAAGGTGCCTTAGGCGCCAACATATACTAACTTTGAGGGGGAACGCGCGCCAAAAAAAACGCCATTTTTTTGTCAATATTTTTCAAAAAGTGCCCAAAAACGGCTTTTTGACTGTTTTTTTTTTTCAAAAATTTGTCTGCGGCGCAGAAAATTTAGCCAAAATAGGGGCAAAAGAGTGCTTTGGGAGAGCTCAAAAAATCAATTTGGTCGACTTTAAAAAAAATGTCGTCAAAATTTTCGAGTTTTTTTTGAAAATCCGCCCCCCCCTCGAGAAAATCCTAGATCCACCCCTGGTGGTAGGTATATGTTTTTAAAGCCTTTTCAGTCAATATTTTTAAAGCCAATATTAAAGGAATATGCTAATTATAATTTATATGAACCTTAAATTCTCTTTTTTAAAAAACAAACAATTTAGTATATGACAAAAACTTGATGAAAAATCAATAGATAAAAATTAAACCTAGTTTTGTTAATAATACTTTTGACTTCTGGCCTCATCTAATTTGATATTTTTTTGGAGCAAAGTGTGTTTCTTTACCTTTTGGGTATTTGCAATAAAAAGTCGAAAAATTAAGGTGACCGAGAATGGCTGTACAAAACAAATCTGGAAACAGTCAAGAATCGAATGCTGACAAAAATGCTACATATGTTCAAGCATTGCGATAACTTCTGTCTGGACAATATTGTACGAGTCATTATCTGGAGACTTTCTTTTGAAGAGCCAAAAGTAGACAAAAAAGACATGGAAGTGATCATTTCTTATGCTTTGAGAGACAAAACGACTTATGGCGTGCGGGACTATTTAATATTGTTCGGCACTTACCCACAAGTTGAGTGGTTGTCGGCTCTTGTAACACTTCAACTTCGGCAAGCGATAAAACTAACCGTCGCCGACAGCGTCAAGATTCAAAAGTTCCTCGCAAACACTGATAACGTACCCATGGTGCGACTTTTGAGCTTGAAGCTTCGACGCGAGGAATTCTCTAACTGCAGTTTGGCTAATGTCGAAGCTATTTTTGAAAACTCGAAGCTCATTGATTTGGACGACGAAATAGCAGCACAATTACTGGCCATTGGAATAGGTGCATGGCCATTGAGGCTTTTGTGGCTGGAAACGGTGCTTCAAATCTCGTTATTGAAAGTCGACCCCGAAATGGACGCAGAAGACTTGGAAGAATTCTCGTATTACATGGGCGAAATCCGGCAAAAATATGGGGATGATGATACCTCAGAACTACTATCAATGCTTTCCGGTGATAAGTTTCTTGTGAAAAAGGAATTGAAAACAGCTTTACGCAATTTGTATCGAAACAAGTGGATATTGGATGAAAATACTAAAAACATTATACGAAGACAACGCAGTTCCAATTGGAATAAATTAGTGTCTCAGAATTTGAAGTCTAGCGAACCGCGTAGCATTGTTCAACTGACGGCTCTCATAAGCAATCACTCTACAAACAGTGAAAGAGTCAAAAAGATGCTTCCTTCCTGTAAAAAGAAAGTCATGAAAATCGAAAATATGAGAAAACAACAAAGTGCTGTTTTACCATGTTTTCAAAAAGCGGCACTGAAAAAAATAAACAAATTAGAGTCCGAGGAGAGAAATTATCGTGAAAAAAAAGACTCGCCCAATCACAAAATCTTTGAAAGATTGAATCTCGAGCAGTCAATTAGAAACAACAAACAAAGCGCTTCGAAACAAATTTCCCAATGGACAGAAGAAGATGTCAACAATTGGGTGAAAAGTTTTTCTTCGTCCGTTTTCGCCGATCTGAAAAGCAAGCATAAAGAAGAGTTAGTATGTGTAGTAGATCAAACTATCGAACTTACCCTTGGATTCAAATTACGTGCCACTCAACTTCTGGCTGTTGTCGTGTTCATTGAAAGTGGTGAAACTGGAATTCTTGAACAAATATCCACGGGCGAAGGAAAGTCGTTGATAATAACAACTTTGGCGATCTACAAAGCTCTTGTTGAACAAAAAAACGTTGACATTATTACCAGCTCAGTGATTTTGGCAGAGCGAGATGCAAAAGAGCACAAAAACTTGTACGGATTATTTCGTTTAAAAGTGGATCACAATAATGTTGACGAAATGAACGAGAGACAAGAGGTATATTCTAAGTCCCACGTAATCTATGGAGACATCAGTTGTTTCCAGCGAGACCTGCTCCTCGACACTTTCTACAACGTCGGCAATGGAATCGAGAGCCGCAAAGTTGGCTGCGTTATTGTAGACCAAGTTGACAGCATGTTGATAGACAAAGGAAACAACAACCTCTATTTGTCCCACAATATTCCTGGCATGGATGCCCTGGAGCCACTATATGTGCATATTTGGATGATGGCCCATGACCCCGGAATAACTGGAAGCGAGGAAGATATTGCACTTATAGAACTCGCCGCAAGACAGGCGATGAGACTTCTTCTTACAAAAGATAACCTTCGAGATAAAATTGGAGTTACCGAGCTCAAAGTGAATCAAATTTGGGAAGAATTGATCCGTTTGGAGTTCATAAACAATCTCGGAGAAATAATTGATGGAAAAAAGTTGTTAAAAAATTGCAAAAAACTCGAAAAAATTCTTCAGATCGAAATTGAATTGACGCGTAAGGAAAAAGGAAAGGTTGTTTCGTTAATCAAAGATTGCATCAGACGGGGAACAACGGTCGAAATTCCAAAAAATCTTAGAGAGTTTGTTGAGTTGCATTTGAACGAATGGGCTAAAAACGCAATTCTAGCCCGGAGTATGAATATCAATGAAGACTACATAGTTGATATCGATCGATCAGACATCGCGCGAAGAACAGAGCCGAATATTGTAATTATGGACAACTACACAGGAGCAGAACAGTACTCCTCGCAATGGAGTAGTGGTCTTCATCAGTTCCTCCAGCTGAAACACTCCTGCCGTCTCTCAATGGAGTCCTTGAAAGCCGTGTTCATATCAAACACTAAGTTTTTTGAGCGGTATGGCTCAAATTTGTATGGGCTTTCTGGTACTTTGGGTTCTCAAAGTGAACGGAACTTTCTGAAAAACCTTTACAGAGTTGATTTCTGTGTTATACCCACTTTTAAAGAATCTCGCTTCGAAGAAATTACACCAGCGCTTTTTAGGAATCAAGACACCTGGCTTAAAAGGCTCACGGAAGATTGTGTTGCGATAACGCACGAACAACAACCGGTGTTAATCATTTGTGAAAACATAGACCAAGTCAACACTGTCGAAGCTGCCCTAAGACAGTTGATGGTTGCCAAAAGCAAAGCAACCAATTCTAAAAAGTCAATCGACGGTTCCAGGAAAAAGCTCGATTGCCCACTGCATGTTTACACGCGCAGCTACGTACCTATTGTTGGCAGTGAACGAGAAATAACTGAGCCGTGCATCATAGTATCCACCAACTTAGCAGGCAGAGGGACTGATATAAAGATAAGCGATAGACTTAGCGAAAAAGGAAGGCTTGCATGTGTGTGTGGCGTACTTACCTCCAAATGTGAGAATTGAGGAGCAAGCCTTCGGAAGAACTGCTCGCAAAGGTCAAAAAGGCAGTGGCCAAATAATCTGCTGTGATGAGTCAAAAAATTCTGAAGACGGAGCGAGCTCTTTTGCCGAGTTTATTCAACTGAAGACAGAACGAAACAAAAACGAGGAGAAAATTGTGAACGAACTGGAAGCTACTTACAAAAACTACACCAAGTCCGAAGAAAAATTACTGGAACGGTTCAAAGATTCGTACAAACGTTTGAATGAACATCTCTTGTCCAAAACGAAGGGTATTTGGAACCGACTGACAACAGACGTCAAAAAGAAAGAGCAACTGAAAACTATTGTTTTGAATAACTGTCTAGACAGTTGGGCTTTTTGGTTGGACCAAATAGGCATCAAACATAAACATGATTTAAAAAGTGCGCCGATTGATGAATTTCTGAGCAGAATAACTAATGCAATTGAAAAAAATTGTGAGGAAAGTGTCGAGGAACGACTCGTTGACCGGTCAGCGCATAAGATTCAATATGCAAACCTCATTGAGGGTGAAAAAGGATTTGAAAAATTGAGAGAAGTTATTTTGGACGACAGTCATTATTGCCCGATAGCCCAATACTATTATGCACATTTGCTAATCAGGAAAAACAATCCAAAAACAGAAGGAGAGTTCAAACTGGCCTTTAAAAATCTCAGATGCGCCCTGATTGATCTGAAAAATCGGAAAGAGAAACTGGCGGAATGGATTGCGAATGTCGGACAGATAGCAAAAAGTTACTTGAACAAAGGTCCCAGTTTTGTACTAGTCAATGACTACGAAGCTCAGAAACAAGACATCACTGCAATTTTGGAGGTATTTATTAACTCTATTCGCAACATACTTGGATCTGAACTCTCAAGCAGAGTGATACAGTCAAAAGACATTGATCCAGTTCGATCCCAGCAATTTTTGGATGAGTTAATCCAAAATCGTCTTGTTAAAAAACCATGTGTTTTGTCAAAAGAGTGGTTAGAACTGCGAGAAAAATACGAATTGCACGCTCAAGAAATTGATCAATTTTTGCAGCGACAAAAAAACAAGACAATCAAAATCGATGACTTGAAAGAATTGCTACCTGGTCGCGAACATTTCTGGGATGGAATGCGAAGATGCAAAATCATAGAGAAGGAAACGCAGTTTGTCTTGTTGCAAAAAGAAGCTGCAAAAAATCTGCTAGAAGAGAACCATCAGAAACTGTACTCTAAAATTATGCAGGATTTTTCTGAATCAGAACAGGCAACAAAAATTCTATTGGCTGAAGGCGAGAGAAACATTTGTTTATACCATGAGCAGTTTGAAGGTATCAAAGACAAAACTCTCATCCCGATAACTAGAGAAGAGTTCGAGAAAAGATTGGGATCTTTTGATGATTATAGATTCTTGTTCGAGCAAGATATTCTGCGCATCAATTGCACTGCGTATTTAGACATTACGAGCGCCGTGCTAGAGAGCGCCGTGCTAGAGAACTTCAGTCGTTTTGTGAATAAACAGACATTTCTCAGAATTGAGTGTTTTGACGAGAAAAAAGCACAAGATATAGTGGACGAGTTAAAGCACGAAAACATTGTCGATTTAAACAAACTCAAAAATTATGAACTGAAGTGTTATCCTGAATTTCAAAGTGAGTTTGAAAGCTGCATTGAAAAAGACTTACGCTACATATCTTGTCTCAAGAAGCTGTTTTCAAAACCGGTAAATCAGCATGAAATAGAGCTTAATGCCATGCCATGGCTCGAATTGTGGGATGATTTAGTAGATGTTGGATGCATTAAGCCAACTAGTCCAGAAATTGACTCATTGAGTGTTGAAAAGGCGAAAAACATTGCGAAAGCTTTTTTCAAAACTGAAATTCCAGCGAGTGATATGGATAAATTTGTAGAGGATTTATGCAATCGCATGGAAAAATGTGAAAGCCATATTAAGAAATTTTCAACTCCAACTAGTAACCTGATACCTCTGAGCTCAGCTTTCGAAGAGCGACTCAACTCCCCTGGACTAAACTGTGAGATAAACAATTTTGTTAACAATGGTATCACTGGCATTATGATTATTTCTGCCCACCAAACAGCATGGCAAAAACTCAAATTGGTGCTTCCTATCATTGCGATGGGACTCGCGCAAATTGCTCTGGGGGTTGCAGTCACTTTTATGTCTGTTGGTTTCATGACCCTCCTAGGCAGCAATCTTGTAGGGGAGGGGATTTCCGACCTGCTTTTTGCTGCAAACTGTTTCTATTCTGGTCATTTCAGCTGGAAAGCGTACGCTAAACACAAAGCTATCAGTTTAGCTTTTTCAGTACTCACAATAGGCATCGGTGCATACTTGAGTCGTGGGGCTAAAATGTCCAAGTATGGGTACAAGATTGGGGGCGAAGCTATGGCTCGGTTGGCAGGAAAGGAGCTGATTGAGGCAGTGGGGGCAAAAGTAGTGACCAAAACAGTAGCGAAATCAATCGGACGCAAGCTTTGCGTTGTAACTGCCCATTGGGCGGCATCGCAACTCGCAGAATCGTTTTCAAACAAAGTTGACGAATATACAAGAAGTGCTTTCCAATATTTCATTGAAAAAAGAGACTTTTCGAAGCTAAAGACGGAAGTCAAAATAACTGTTGTCTCACTGGGAACACGTTTAGCGCAAGAAACACTGGATAAAACTCTCAGAGAAGTTTTTGAGAGCAAAAAGAATTGGATTTCACAGTTACCAAGCTACGCGAGTAAACTTTCGTCCTCAATCCAAAAAGCTTCCAGTCACGCAACCGCAAAAGCTGGAGGCTTTTCGTCCGATTCCACAAATGAATATGCAACTTTACTGCAGATTGGCAAAACTGCCAAAGTTATCATAAACTCAAGTTTAGTGTTTACTCGAGTTGAAAGACAAATTGATAAAATAGAATCATCTCTCAAACGTAATTTGGAAGAGGCCGAACGAAAAAAGGCCTCATTATCATCTGGGTTTTTGTCTGGAAGCCGGCCAAGCCAGTTTACAGCAGCCGAAATAGCTGAAAAATTTATTTTAGATTGCAAGGATCATCTTGCGAAGGATGTTAGCCACGAGTTCAGTCAAGACCTTCTAAAGCCAGCCACTGAATTCGCCTTGAATTTTATGGCGAAGCAGGCGTATATGAAAACCGAACAAATATACGACAAATACCAGATTGGAAAACAGCGTCTTGAGTTCCAAAAACTTAAAAGAAAAATTAACCAATCGGGTTCTACTCTAAAGCATTCTGGCGTATCTCAAGAGTTTATTACGCAAATTATCCAAAAATGCTATCAAAATGAAATGACGGATTTATTGGAAAATACAAAAAGTCCGGATCTTTACGCTGAAATGGTTGAATTTGGGTTCCCTGCGGGAGCCATAGCGCTCCAGTATTCTGCAAAAATTGCTGAAATGAACCTTCAAATCATTGCACTGGATGGCAGCCCAATAATGGAAGTTGACAACGACTCGGTTCCAAAAATTGAAGATAGAACCAAGACAATAACTTTTGATAGAGAAACACAGGAGTATATTAGTACCACGGGTATCCGAAAACCATGTTTAATCAAAGCACTGGCACTTTCTGGCGTCGAAGTTACCACGGAAGAATTTGCAGTCGGTCTTCGAACTGATCATAAGCTTCGTGAATGTATGAAATCCGGAGTCGAATCGAATCTTCGCAGAAGGTTGGAAGGAGAACAACCCAAAAGTCAAAACATTGCATCAATTTTTGTCAAAACGAAAAATTACGAAGAAACTCGTAGATCCATTTGTCGTGACAAATTAGAAATACAAACAAAAAAGCAGTCGATTTCCTCATGCGAAGCAAAACATCGCTCAGCTCTGTTGGCAACTGCGGTAGAACTGAATGTACGCAAACAGCAAACAGATTACATAGAAGTCGCTGAAGCTACCTTGACAAATGCAGAATATAAGATAATTAAAACAGAGGAAGGATTAAGAGTTGTTGACGCAAAACAAGAAAACTCGTTCTTTCAGTCAATTTCAGTGAAAAGTTACGAACGATATAACATGCAACTGCTTACAAGCTTCGAACGAAGCAACAACGCAAAACTCGCTTTGGGAAACATGTTTGTGCAACATTTGAAGTCAACCCCCACTGTACATGATTTGGAGGAAGTCTCTGTTCTTTCACAGCATTCAGACCACGCATTCATGCAAGACTATCAACAAAATCGCTACACTCAATTATGCATTGCCTATGAATGTCTGGATGATAAAATGGAGGTACAGTTACAACGTGAAAAACGTTCGATTGAAAGAAAAGGCCATATATACTGCAGAACGATAGCCAGCTACGTCAGGAATAAAACCTTGGCTTCGTTAACAAAGTTGATGGAACATGCCCCAAGAGCCATCAACCTAATAGATTGATTGAACGATATATCTGAAAAAAATGCGGCGAACATTTAATTGAGCGAAGCTAAAATTTGTTAACTCTATGCATTTAAAAATAGAGCAGCAATGCAGATTTAAATTTTCAGCTTTCATTACGAGGCTAAACTGTGCATTTTGTGAATTTTAAGCGGATTCCGCAACAAGGACGCTCCTTTGTCCTTTTTTTCTGCCATTTTCTTTGATCGTTCCGACAAAACTTAACCATGTTTAAAGACTTGTATATGGAATCCAAGAACATACAGACACAAACATGTGCGTCTATTCAGTGCACAGTTTGGCCTCGTAATGTTGAAAGATCAGGCGACAACATGTTTTTAAGTAAACTTGAAAATATTTACCAATGCAATCTAAGCTACCATTTGATGAGTAACAATCAGGATAAATGCCATAAAAACTGTTTTGTCCTGAATAAACTAATTTAAAATATACACCTTGTAAAAATGCCATTTTATACTCTAACTACAATGATTATCGCTAAACATTTTTCAAAATACTAATCTGCAAACAAATTCGTTTTGAAGATATAATTTTTATCAAAGGACTCTTTGAAGCAAAAAATGTAGTATTTAATTTTAAGGAT